AGATAACTTCAATCCACCCATGTCTGTAGGGCAGAACATTTTGTTTAATTACGGCTCCTTATGTTTTAGTGGGATGTCACGAACTTATGGTATTGATGCTGATTTATCACGCAAAATACCTCTTTAAATCGTGTTACGAACGTTGAATTGGTTTCACTTCCTACCCAGAAATCCTATTACAAGCAAACTAGACAATTCGCTAATATACGAAGCCTACTCAAGACCCTATAATACCTGAAAAAAATAATAATACAAAAAAAACGAAAGGGGCTCTAATAGCTTCGATAATAAAAGGAAGATAGCCAATTGTATATCACAATACTGTTTCTAGCACTAGATTTTATTTTATAATCACACATAATCCCATACTCTCAGCTCCTTTACGAATCGCCTCCATTTGTCAGTTGTATGTCCACTCACACCTTGTTAACACTTATTTTCTTTAACCTATTAAAATGCTCTTTCTTAACAAATACCTTAATAAAAGAAAATTAGACTGAGTAATCATACCTTAAGCATTCCTTCATGAATATTGGCTACTCTGCCTCTCGTGTTTTCTTTTACTTGCTCCCTCTTTCAGCCCCCTTGAGATATGGAACGGGTGACTTCATCCTGCACCATCCTTAAAGCCTTGGATATTCCAAAGGGACATAAGGTTGCGATTTCTAGAAGCTCATACCTTCAATGGACCTATCCTTGACCATCAGTCGCACATTCGCAACGCAACTTTCATGAAGCGCGCTAACTGTAGAACTGCTTAAAACCATCTACATTCATATCTCATAAATTATCAACCCAGCTATGTAATTTACTACAGTGGATATTGTATCATTTGTATCAATTTGATCTTGCCTGTAAACTGGCATGCCTCATGTAACAAACTGTTATTTGAGAATAAATTATTATTATTATTATTATAACACCAAGGGAACACCTTCTCGACTAAACACCTTTCTTAATGTTGGTATTGTGAAATCAGAATTTGGTGAAGTTGTGAAAAAAACTTCAGGCCACTTTGAAAAAGAATCAATGACTACTAGTGCGTAGTATTTACCAAGAAATGGTCCACAATAGTCAGCATGAATCCTCTGCCAGGCCTCAGACGATACTGGCCATGGCACCCATTTCGAAGGATGATTTTTCAACTGATGACATTTCTCACAATTGTTTGCCGTACGACATATATCTGCATTTATCTCTGGCCACCAGCATGTGAGCCTTGCCAAGGACTTCATTTTCTCAACACCTAAATGACCACTATGAAGATCTTCAAGAACAGATTTACGCAATGAAGGAGGAATGACAACACGATCATTTAAACACAGAATACCATCAGGAGTAGTAGATAACTCATCCCGCTTTGAAAAATAGATAGGAAATCTCCGTTTCAAATTAGCATTCCAACCTTTCCTTATAGCACTGAGTATACATCCAAAATATCTACGAGTTTCTCTAATGAGATCTGAACGTCTCACTGGTAAAGGTTGCACTAACAAACAATCCGAAGTATTAATAGGTTTATCTTGTAATGACTGTCGAGAAATGTAATCAACATGTTGAATCTGTTTGGCACTTCTGTGCTGAACCGTATAGTCATATGCACTCAAAGCAATACTCCATCGCTGAACCATAGCTGCTGAGGAACGTGCTAAGGATTTTTCGAGATGATAAATAAACTTTAAAGCTTCATGATCAGTAACAATAGTGAATTTCTTTCCGAATAAATATTTATGAAGTCTTTTAACAGCCCAAAACACAGCTAATGCTTCTCGCTGAGTCTGTGAATAACCTTGTTCAGTAACAGTAAGTTTGCGTGAAACACAAATAACTGGTCTACCTTCCTGTTCCAAAACTGCACCAATTCCCACAGGTGATGCATCAGTAATAAGCACAGAATGTACATTAGGGGAGTACGTTCGAAGAACAGCATCACTTTGAAGAAACTTCAGCAGACTTCGTAAGCATGACTCTTGTTCCTCACTCCATTTGAATGAATTGGATGTTAAAATATTAAATAAACAATTTGCACGACAAGAAAAATTAGGAATAAAACGGGAATAGTATTGAAGAGCACCCACTAGTGAACGTAATTCTGTAAGATTTTTCGGAGACGGTGCATTAGTCAGTGGAGCTAGTCGTTTCATATCTGGTCTAAAACCATTACCATCAACTAGGTATCCAAGGCATTCAAAACTAGATACACAAAATGAACACTTATTTGGATTCACTGTTATATTCTTCTCAATTAAACGACGCAATAAAGCAATAAGTCTCTGGTCATGAACTACCTTATTAGAGCCATGAACAATGAGATCATCTTGATAAACTTCAACACCTTCAAGATCACTAACTACTTTATTCATAACTTCCTGAAATATGGCTGGAGAACAACTTAGACCAAATGGAAGGAAATTGTATTTGAACAGACCAAAAGGAGTGTTAATTGTCGTCAAAATAGATGAAGATTCATCTAAAGGAATTTGAAGATAAGCATCTTTTAGGTCAACTTTCGAGAACACTTTAGAACCATGAAGTCGATTTAGAATATCTTCAGCTTCTACCGTCGTGCACGTTTGCTTCAACAAACGGGAATTCAGAGTTAATCTATAGTCACCACAAATTCTAGGGGTCTTGCCGTCCGACTTCAGTGGCGTAACGATAGGAGTACCCCATGCTGAAGACTGAATTGGTTCAATTATGCCTTTCACACACAAATCGTTTAATGTCTTATGTACTGCTTCTCGAAGACCATAAGGAATTATTCGTCTTTTAAGAAAGACGGGATCACCCTGTACTTGAAGTTTTATAGGCTTAATTTTCATACCTCCACTGCACTTAGCACACATAGCTATCAAATCTTTAAGTAAAGTATCAGAATTTTTTTTAGAAACTAAGAAGGACAACTCCACCTTAAGCCTTTTCAAATTCTTTAAACCCAATATTGACAGTCCTGTTTCGCTAACTAAAAATTCACAAGGTATGTATGAAGAATTATCATCTCTGATTAGCAATTCACAACATCCTCGTATGGGCAGTCTGTGTCCAGTAATCCCCAGTATTGATACTTCAGTGGGTCGTACAACAACGTTAGGATCTAAAGCTTTCAAGTTCTTGAATGAAATAATGGACTCTATACTGCCTGTGTCCAGAATAAAGTCATGAAATGAACCAAGCGATGTATATAGTCGCTTCTGAATATGAGCATTACCTTTCGAAATAGTAGACAAAGATAAATGATCACTAGAAACATCCGAATTATTGAAATTTAAATTACAAGATTTAGTACAGCTTGAAGCAAAATGGACAGTAGCTTTGCATACTGACTGAATGTGTCCTACCTTACCACATTTAAAACATTTAGCATTACGAAATACACATGAATTGCGAGCATGAAACTTTCCACATGATAAACATTTACCAAACTTCATCTCACCTTTGTGATTTGCTTTGTAATTCCTCGTTGAAACACCTTTCATATTTACACGAGAATAGGAATCACTGTTAAATGAACGCAAGTTTGATTGACCCTGAGATTGTAGTTCATCACGACGACTAAGCAAAGTATTAGAAATCTTCATCGACTGGATATCAAGTTCATTGACTGCTTCGTAGTTAATACATGCAGTTCTAGCATCTTGAAAGGAACAGTTTGGCATTCTTAACAGCTCTCTTTCCAAACTCGGTATGTTAATTCCTGCAATTAATCGATCTCTCAGTTGCACATGAAGTTGATCACCGAAATTACACTTGGCAGCTTGTTTCTGTAATTCAAGGATGAATTCCCGAGCCTTTTGGTCATTTTGACGAACCATCTTATGAAACTTCGCCCTTTCACGGCATTCAAAACTGGTGCATTTTACATGACTTAATAATAGCTCTTTAAGAGTTGCATAAGGGAGTGAGATAGGTTTTTCTGGATATGCCAAAGTTTTTAATAAGCTGTACGCTTCTCTCCCAATGAATGTCAGAAAATGTGCCACAATTTTATCACCTTTAACATCTTTCTTGGTCATGCTCCAAATTTCGAACCTTTCCAAATAATCCTCAAAAACTTCAGGAGTTGAATGAATATCCAACTTTTCCATTGCAGGCTCCATCGCGACGCCAATATGGTATTCTAATTGTCGTATGAACTAGGAATTCCAGGATTAACGCAATTGAATGAAGAAGACACAGGCACCAACGAATGTATTGTATTTAGAATTCGAAACCAAGCATTCAACCAGTACAAAGGTATCATTGGTTCATTCAAACACCACAGTCCATTATGTATTTTCTTGTCCACCGGTTGCTATGTCGAAATAAGTCTACAAAACTTAGAGACAAAGGAACAAACATACCTTCACGAATCAGATCTTTAGAATGTGCATACAAAATATGACCACAGGGCAGCATGTAGTCATTGAAACGCAATATTTCGACCTGAAGAATAAATTCATTTGAAGTAAGGCATACGTAGATGACCGATGTCGTCTCCTTTGCCTAGGTTGTGTTGGCGAGTTAGACGTTGTACGCTCTTCAGAAGAATGATTATTACTATCATCATCTACATCCTGAACAAAAGCATCTGACTCTGACGAACTGCGTTTACGTGCATATGTACAGACATATCTCACGAAAAAGTACTTTAGAGTTGGATCATCACTGTTCTTTTTGCACACTGACATAACGTACTTAGTATGCGTATACTAAAAAAATAATTACTAACCACAGAAGTCATATTACCATATGTACTTCTTTCAAACAGGTTTCAAAATTGTCCCAACTTGTAAATCTTCGAGATAACATAATATCATTGAAGATTCATCCTATATCATGCATCATCACGATGGCATCGTCTTCGTTACTTGAAGAATGGACGTTACCAGACATGGTGTGGCTGAACTCAATTCAAATCTAAAAATGTCTTGATTTGACCGCTTCTGAAAATTTTCACGGATTGTCGATGTGACGCACCAATCATTTTGTGACGGTTTGACCTTCAAGTGCTCGCAACCCCCGTCAGTGGACGATACCCTAGGAGCGTTGCCGAAATGGTCAGAGGATTGCCTGCAAAGGTCATTGTGAGAGGGCTGCCTCCTAAATTAAGTGCTGATGATTTCATCAGAATTGTTGACCCGCTACCCTCTCACACCTACTTTAGGTTTTGCGGTGCTGATGAGTCATTGGGTGGTCTGGGGCTGACGCGGGTTTACATTACATTCAACGACATAGATTCTGTATTTGATTTCAAAGAAAGGTTTGATGGCTACATTTTTTTGGATTGCGAGGTAGTCCTAGTTTTTTAGTTACTCGTTCAGGGAAATGAGTCCTCTGCACTTGTAGAGTTTGCCGTTTGCCAGGCATTGGCGAGTGCTAAAGGATCTTCAGACGATAATAAGGGAGGGAAAGTGGACAAAAAACAGGGTTCCTTGTTGAAAGACTCAGCATATTTGAAGTTTATGAACTCGCAATCTGCTGAAGTTTGTGCCGAAATATCAGAATCAGAGTTCAAAAAAACTCCCTGGGAATCCATTTTAGATGATCTCCAAAACAAGGACGCGAACGCTCTTCAGGTTAGTGCGATAATACAATATTATTTTTTCGTCCTTAATATTCAGTTTGTAATCTTGATCATTCGTACGTATATATTGTTATATAGGGATGAAATTCTCAAAGATTGGTGCAAACACTTTGCACATAGTCTTCAGTAATAAGGATAGTAGGTTGGTGAACCTGTGTTAGTCCTGACAGATTGCCTTCCAGTGAAGGTTCAGCTCCTTGAAAATATTGACTGATGGGACTGGTACCACTTGTTCGGGTAAGCCGTTCCAATCATTGACTACTCAATGCGAAAAACGGGACCCCACTTTAAGTTTATTAGATCGCAGCTTGTGGACCTTCTTGCTATAACCTCGGAAATTATTAGTGCCTGAGGGGGCAAAAAAAGAAGACATTAACACCCAAATCATCATTAAAGATACGAAATGCTAGTGTATGGTCACTTTGCGTCCTACGATACGAGAAGGGGAAAAGGTTTAGGCATTTTAAGCTATCATCGTAAGGGAGTTTGGGAAGACCTTTTACTGATTTTGTTTCCAAACGCTGAACATGCTCGGGTGTATTGATATCCTTTATCGGACTTGGACTAGGTGCCTAGATACAGTACTCTAAGTGTGGTCTTACATAGGTTGGATATAAAATTCGAAAAATTTCCTCGTCAAAGCATTTGAATGCTCGGCAAAGTGACCATAACTCACGGTAACATTTGGCAGCAGCTGCGATGAAATGCGTAGTTGTTTTCAAGTCATGACTTTTTGTACTTGAACTCGAAGAAGTGATATACCATCAATAATATAATGGTAACTATTACCATACGACTGTAAAGTTTGAAGTTGTCAGTGATGCTTTCATCCTTAGGATTGACGTAGTCATTATATGGTATTTCCAGCCCTACGTAGTGAGTAATCGAAAAGTCAATTTAGAACCACATGTTCTTAGTATCTACAAAGAAAAGAAATGTTGAATACTGCAGGACATCTATCCATGTTCATTCAAGATACCTTGCATTAAATTGACCGTGTTAAACTTGGAAGATCGTAAGGTGACTACAGTGTGTTGTGGCATTACATACTACAAAAGTTGATTTGTTATGTTATTAGGGGTTAATGGCAATGTAATTAGTTTGTCTATTTCTGATCGACACGAGTTACCCTTGAGAAGTTCTCATCATCTGGTTATAAGCTAGTTGTTTCCTTTCGATAGTTCATCCATGTTTCGTGCCTATACATTTCAAAAGCTCGCATTGGAGTAATTTTGAGGATCGTGAAATGTAAGCTTAAGTAAAGGTAGCCCTTCAAGGGTTTTCTAAAGTCTTCGTCGTCGTGGTGCGAGATTTAGATAGTTATACCTGGTCCTCAAATTATGAGTAAGCTAGTCTTCTATACAGTGTTACAAAAACTTCTCGATTTTCATTAGCTAATGTGTTGGGTCACTTCTGAGTGAATGCTTAAAGCGTTGGTTCCCAACCACTAACTTGAAAGCCCAAATTTTCCCACATACCTCGGTCTTAGTAGCCAGGTAAAATTGCTGGCCCTTGCACAAAATGTGGGTATTTGTGGTAACTGATATAGTCGGTGACGGTTTATTTATTTATTTATTTGGACACATGAATATTGGTACAAGAGAGCGCCAATATATATGCGCCACACAAAACAATGAAAATTCGAGAGGAATACAAAGAAAGAAAAAAAAGCTAAGGAGCGCAACAAAAAAAGAGAACATTAACGAAGAGATTGGTGTAAGGTAATGTGCTAGTAATCAGGGAACGCAAAGGTACAATCGGAAGAAACCTTTCAGGTAAGGGAGACACAACCACCTTTTATGAAGAAAGTAAAAGAAGGTTACAGCAGGATCGCCATTGGCTTCTATTCTGAGCCATATCTGATAACGTCTCTAGCCACTGTGTAGCACCATCTCTCAGACCCCAACCAGGGAGTCGTGAAGGACCAACACAAGCCAGTCCTTTGCAGCTTTCTTTCATGCCACGACACCATGTCATGCACTGACCACCTCTCCGCTTCTTCCAACCAGTCCCAGAGTCGGCAAATAATGCACGACGTGGAATTCTCTGGGACGACATTCGGAGAACATGTCCAAGCCACCGAAGTCGACGTTTCAAGATGGTGACACCAATTAAGTTATCGTCGCTGTGCCTGAACACACGATACCGAAGCTCTGCATTACTAACATGGTGATGCCAATCGATGTCAGCAATCCTTCGAACACAACGATGATCAGACACAGGGTTGCCTAACATCCTCAACTCGAAAAGGCCAGGTTTCACAAGCATAGAGCAAAACTGCTCCTACCGACGCGTTGTAGATCCGACCTTTTACAGCCAGACTGACATCACGAAGGCGCCAAAGATGACCCAGATTGGCATAAGCTGCTCTGGCTTTCACTATACGTGTATTGATCTCATCCCTCACGCCACCACCAGCACTTGTGTAGCTACCCAGATACACGAACTTCTCGACTACGTCTATCTGCTCACCATCCAGGGTGAGTACAGGATTGGAATCCTGCCAGTCTTGTAGAAGTACTTTGCAGTTCGAAGTTGCAAAGCACATACTATACCTACAGACACTGATTGCCAACTGATTAAGTGCGGATTGAATGCCTTGGGCATTATCGCACAGTAAGACAATATCGTCCGCATACCCAAGGTCGAGAAGTCTTTCTCCAGGCAACAGATCCACACCACCATTACTTACATTCATCAGAGCTGTTTCCAGAATGTCATCGATGGCAAAGTTGAAGAGGAATGGTGAGATTGGGCAACCCTGCCTAACCCCACTGCTCGAATGGAACAATGGAGAGGTGGTTGTATGCCCTCACTCTGCCTGAGGTGTTTTTATATAGGGCTTTTAGGATGTTAATAAACTTCTCAGGCATACCCTTCTTCAATAGACAATCCCAGAGAACAGTCGTGTCCAACGAATCGAAGGCAGCCCTGATGTCAAGAAACACTGCGATTGTTGGCCTTTGATAAGTATGGCGATGTTTCCCAAATGTGTTTCAAAGCCAAAAGTAACATAGCTGGGATGGACAAATAAATAAAGTACATTATTAACTTAAAGCACGTATGATAGGTTATTCGATCATTCACTAATCCTTCAGTTAAAATGTTAATTTTTTGTATGGAAGTAATATAAGTTGTCTTTGTCATTGCATATGAAATAATTCATATTGCTTCTGTCTGTCCATAATCTTTCCACATATCACAGTTTCTATTATCACCTGAATAACTTACTGAGCATTTCGTACGGTGCTAGTTACTGTTGTGTACAATGGAATGCATAAAAGGGAAAGAACAAATATCTTTGGCACGCCACTAGTGTTGGTGTGTTTACGGTTGTAGAAAAAAGATACGTGAGGCTTCCCTCCTTCGCTCAGCGTTTTATCTGTTTCTTAATTACATCTAATAATAAGTGCAAGTCATGAAACTAATTAAGTGTCTCGAAACACAATCCATTTTCCAATATTGACTATTTCGTCACTAAATATTTCTTTCTTGATACTGTACCAGTTTCTAGCTATAAAAAGCTTATAAATTCCCACGTGAATTCCCATGAATAATTTTACCCTACATTCTTTTCCTTTCTGCATGATGCTGATGGTCAGATTAAACGTCTGACTACTCATCATTATCACCCATTTACTATCTCACTAGTGCGTGGAAAATATTATTTCTACCTCGTGTAAGTAGTGTCGTTATCTTTCTGATTATCTGTACTGTTTGTCTGCATATTTCTATCTTTATCCGTTTATCCGTCCATCCAACGACCTGTTTACCAAATATGAGTTTATGTTCTTAGCTTTACCGTTTGTTTGAGGGTTTCTACCCGGTTACCCAAATCAAGTAGTGTTAAACTTGTAACATGCTGGGTTAAACCCGGATTTTCTAATCATCAAGATATCGCATATGTATATGTATTAAACCTCCGGATGATTTTTTTGTAGACCCAAACTGTCACACCACTTTTAACCTACCTTAATAACCGTGGTGGAGATATTAGACGTAAAGATGAAGAATCATCACGTCACAGGCAGTTTAGACAAGGTAATGCATCTGTCATCAAGAAAACGCCGAAAGTAGACAAATCTGCACGAAGTCATCCATCAGTTAGGCGACCTCATGAATTAAAACGTATTTCTTCTGATCGCATTTGCGAGGTTTCAAACAAAGAAAACCCTCAACATAATAGCACGGAAGATTTAACGAGAGTTGATCCAAAAATGCAAAAGAATAAGAATTCAGAAAAGTTGATCACATTGGATGCAAATGAATTTCCTGCTATGCAAAGTTCCTGTGAGTTCTATTATTACTTTTTAAAAATTTTTATTTAAAAATTCATCTGGTCACAACATCAAAATGGTCGCAATGTTTATTAGTAAACAATTATTCCAAGTGATATTAAGTCCTTGTAGTGGTTTTTGATGCTAAGAATTTGGGTAATGATGCTTAACTAGTCACAACGCGAATGTCAGTACAGTTAGACACTGAGAAAATTCACCACATAAAATGGAATAGACATTTTGGTGGAGTTTTGTTCTCTGAGCTGGATGGTTTGGTCGTGGAGCTTTCATCGTTCTTCTGAACGACATCATCAGCACAAACTTCAGATAGAAGTGAAGTGTTCGAATTTCTCCATACGTGTTTCACAGCATGTTCTGTGCACCTCGATGTTGATTGGTTCTTATTGACCTTAAATTTGTCATTGTTTACTTCTTTGTTTTGGTTGTGTCTCCCATTGTTTTGATTTTTGTTCTTATATGTATGCATGATTTTCCTGATTGGTTGATAAATTGGATTGATTTCAGTATGCTTGTTGATTGCTGTGAAACACATATGGAGAAATTTGAACACTTCACTTCTATCTGTGCTGATGATGTCGTTCAGAAGAACGATGAAAGCTCCACGACCAAACCATCCAGCTCACAGAACAAAACTCCACCAAAATCATCCACCTGAGCTACAAATATTCTCCACCATGGAATAGACATGTTAGGAAAAACATTGAGTGAGAAAGTGGCACATGAGTTTATGAGAATAATTTTCAACAAAATACAGTTTAGTTGAAATACAGCTAGAAAGACATTTTAGATTTAAGGAAGCTTATTAAACCGTAATAAAACGTTGTAATAGAAAACTACAGCATCTCCATCAACTATTCTCAACCGTATCGAACGACCTCTCAATTCATGCGTAATCCCCAGTCCCACTGGTGGAGTCCTAGTGGCCCAGCAAATCCCAATCTTACGCAACTCCGTCAGTCAGTCAGTCAGCTACAACGTAGGACCAGGCACATATATGCATCAGTCCAGGTTGCCATACCTCATTAGCACAGCAAGATGAACACCAGATTCATAGGAGTGGTTAGGTCAAAGGTGGTAATATATAAGAGAAAGATTGCATATAGAGATATAGTACAAGAAGAAAGAATTGGTTCGTAGAAAGAAAGATATGAAGTGATTTTAATCTCTTAGTTTAAGGGAAGACAGGGAGTGTATACACCGACGCCATTGTGATCGATTCTGAGCCATGTCACCAAGAGTCTCCAACCATTGGTTACGAAAGTCACGCGGACCCCAACCAAGTAGTCTGCATCTACCAACATGGCTCAGACTAGAAGTTAGTGACTTCAAGCACTGATGCCACGTTTTGGTTTGGCCGCCCCTAACTTTCTTCCAACCATCTCTAACACCGGTTAGCATTGCACGTCGTGGTAATCGGTGTTCAGGCATACGTAACACGTGGCCCAACCATCTCAGTCGATGAAGATTCACAACCTCATCAACTGATTTACCATCATTCCCTAATACCCTGCGTCTAACCTCACTATTACTTACCCGGTGATCCCAGCAGACGCCAGCAATATTTCTAAGGCATCTGTGGTCAAATACTAGTAGCTTACGGGTGTCTTCTACTCTTAAAGGCCATGTTTCGCTGCCGTAAATTAAAACAGAACGGACTGCCGCGCAGTATACTCGTCCTTTTATTGATAGACGGATATCTCGCCTCGCCAAAGGTGACGTAAGTTGGCAAAAGCCAAACGAGCTTTTCGAATCCGTGCTGAGATTTCGTCAGACACCAACCCATTAGGGCTGATCAGACTTCCAAGATAAGTGAAGTTGTCAACGCGTTCGACTACTTCACTCCCTATCCTTAGTTCAGGTGTTGACGCAGACCAGTCCTGAAGCAACAACTTGCATTTAGAGGGAGAGAAGCGCATTCCAAACATTCTGGCATTGTTGCTTAGTGCTACCAGAAGACTCTGCATTTTGTCAGCGTCTTCACCAAACAGGACTATGTCATCTGCGTATTCTAAGTCGATAAGTGGACCTCCTGGATGGAGATCAATACCCGAGAATTCAGTCGACGAGAGTGTTATTTCCATCAATAGGTCTATGATGAAGTTAAACAAAAATGGAGAAAGTGGACAGCCTTGACGGACACCACTTGAGGTTGCAAAAGTAGATGACAGTTCGCCATAAGCTCTGACTCGACTAGTAGTGTTCGAGTAAAGAGCCTTCACAAGGTTTATGTACTTCTGAGGTACGCCTTTCAATGACAGACACTGCCACAGAATCTCGCGGTCTACAGAGTCAAATGCTGCTTTTAAGTCAAGAAAGACCACCATTGTCGGACGCCGATAAGTATGCCTGTGTTCTAGAACCTGACGAATGGTGAATATGTGGTCGATGCAGCCACGACCAGGTCTAAAGCCAGCTTGGTTCTCTCGTGTTTGCAGTTCACGAGTCTTAGTTAGGCGTCTGATAATTATCGAGGCTAGTATTTTAGATATTATATTAGTTAAACTAATCCCTCTGTGGTTGTCACAGGATGATTTTGACCCTTTCTTATATATTGGGACGATAAGTGATTGCGACCAGTCAGATGGGATAACGTCTAACTCCCAGATTTTAGCTAAAATATTAGTCAACCTAATCGCTAAAATTGGACCACCATCCTTAAAGACTTCTGGAGCCAATCCATCTGGACCAGCTGCCCTTCCTCGTTTCAGATTAACTATAGCCTTTTGAACTTCAGCAAGAGTTGGGGGACCTACTTCAATGTTCCATTCACACTGTCTGGGAATGGAGGGTAGTTGTAGAGTAGCTGAAGGCCAGCTGAACTGTTCTCTAAAATGTTCCGCCCATCGTTCTAAACGTCTGGACTGGGAGCAGATGAGAGTATCGTCTTTTTCCGAAATAATCTCACTTACACTTGACTTATTAATTCCAGTTTCTTTTATTAGTCTGTAAAGCTGTCTTGTGTTCCCTATAGTCGCCGCCTTTTCCATCTCTTTTGCTTTCGTTGCCCACCACTGCTCACGGTCGTTCCTTAGACTTTTTCTTAACCTAGATCTGATTTGTTGTCGCTCTTCATCATGTTCGGAACCTGATGGGACGAGTTTGCGAGAATCCATCAGTGTGACAGACCTTGAAGAAATCCACTGGTTCTTTGTAACTCTGTGGTTTAAGTCACTAATAGATGTCACTGCTGTTTCCACAGCTGCTTGTATATCTTTCCAAGCAACATCTGGGTCAGCCTCGTCTTCACAACTACCTAAGTGTGACCTCAGTTGTTCCTGGAACCTACTTTTGGTTTTCTCGTTACTCAACTCAGTTCTAATGGGTCTTTTTAATGTGGCTTTTTTGCGTCCAGTGAGGCGCAAGCAGATGCGTGCCCGTATTAGGGCATGGTCGGAGTCCAAGCAGGTACTCCAGAATGAGCGACAATCTTCTACCGACCCTCTCCAACGATGACTGATGGCAATATGGTCTATTTGAGTCCATCGTTGGTTTGGTGTAGGGGGTCGCCATGTTAGACGATGTCTCTCCTTATGCTTAAAATTTGTGTTTGCTAAAAATAAACGATTGTCTGAGCATAGTTGCAGCAGACGATCACCATTATCTGTTCGCTGTGCCGGAATACTAAAATATCCACCTAAATGCCTTTCTGTTTGGTTTAAACTACCTATCTGAGCATTAAAATCACCTGCTACGAGTACTATGTCTGAGCGTTTAGCTTTCTGAAGAAGTTCGGAGAGCTTTCTGTAAAATTCATCTTTCACTTCATCTGAGCTGCAGTCAGTGGGAGCGTAGGCAGAAACGACAAAAAGGCAACGACGTGTGTCCCTATCCTTCCGAGTTCTTACGGAGCCGTTTAGCCGAACAGCACATAGACGACTGTTGACGGGGATCCACTCTAGCAGTGCTTGTTCCGCCCTCATGCTTAGTGCTATGCCTACACCTGCCAGTCCACGAGAACTGGCCATCGGGTCACCAGATACACGAAGGGTGTATCTCGTTGGCTCTCCGTTTTGCCGAGGTGAGGTCAAGTGAATGACCACACTGGAATCCTGTATGCGTGTTTCGGAGACACAGCATACATCAATGGAAAGAGACTCTAGGGTTTTAGCCAAGGAAGCCTGCTGACCGATTTGACATAGGGTGCGTACGTTGAAGGCTCCAATGTGTAGTTTGGAGCGAGGTTTCAGTAGACCTGGGACAGTGTTTTGAGCACTAGAATCGTTGGCTATGGTGACACTTGAGGAGGAAGCCGAAAGAGGAAGTTTAGAGTTGAAAGTCGATGTAGGAGGAATAATAGGAATTGAAGAGGAGGTTGATTATGAATACAGTGGTCTTGAGTGCTGTTAGAGGTATGAGGGCGGTTATCACTTCCCGGTTGCCCACACCGTGGAAGGGTTCTTCTGGAGGTACCTGAAAAGGAAATTGGATTAGAAGTGGTCTTAGTGACCTGAGAGCGTGACCGCAGTGCCCAAGGGACAACTGCTTGAGGTCGGTCACACACGACCTTTTTATGGGTAATTTTTGTGTTAGCTCCGTACTTATTGAGACCTTACCGCCGGAGACGGATATCCGTGGGATAAGGCGAGGTGTGCATTTTTAGGGTCGACCTTTTCTAACCCCACCCCTCCTTGTGGGAAGGCAGCATCGCTGTCATGCTGGTTGTCTGAAGGAAACACCTTACTGCTGTCACACCTCTGTACAGTCAGCAGTACGACTTCGCCTTCGGACCTTGGGTTTGTTGCTTTTAGTCTTACCGCTCTTCAACCGACCTGTCTGACATGGTAGGACCTTGAGGAACGGTTGTTCCAGCCAGTATAGCTCGGTTGCTTCATCACGATAGGCAAGCCCGACCACCACGTCTAGGTAGCAACAGCGGTGGCGGGGAGCTAATTCAAACGAGATGGAAAAGGCGGGAGTTGTAGTCGATTTTTCAAGTTTATCAAAGAAACAGATATTAGGAATTTACGAGTTAAGGATATTATTTTTAAACAA